CCAGCAGCTCTCCCTCCGGGGCCTTGCCAGCTCGGAAAGGGCAGCCCAAGCTATTCTTTTCGAGACCCCGCCATGGCGTGGACCGCGCCATCCAGGATTGAAGGTTATGACATGTAGGTGGCGGCTGCATGATAGTGAGTGAACAAAATGCTGCAGAATTGTGTGCTTGATGATGGTTACTTCAATACTGCATGAGTTCCCTTCAGCAGAACATCAGCTAGTGTAAATCAACACGTTAACAGACTAAAGAAGAAAAAAAACATGTCACCTGCTTTATAGATAAAAGAAGAAAAAAATAAGTTGATAAACTTGAGCACATTCTCATGACAACTCTCTGCTAAATAAATTTGGAAATTAAGCCCCTGTGTCTGGTAAAAGCATGTAAGAATGTGGCAGCTGTCACCACATTAATGTTAAGTTGTTGAAATATGTCCTTGTGCTCATCCTTGTCCTGGAGAAACTAGTCAGCCCAACAAAGCAAGAAATAAAGAAGAATAAATTTTGGAAAGGAAAAAGTAAAACTCTTTATTCACCAATAACATGATTATGCTGGTAAAAAAAAAATGTTGAAGAAATCTACAAGAAAATAAAGCTACTAAAAAAAAAGTCAACTAGGGAAAGCTATTTGATTAAAGGTAAATTCACAAATATCAGTTGTAAAAACATGCCACACTGGTGGGGGAGGCTCTGCATGTGGGGAAGGGGACATATGGGAACTCTCTCTATCTTCTGCTTAATTTAATATTTAACATAAAACTTCTCTAAATATATAAAGTCTTTTTTAAACAATATTATTTATTTCTATTTGCGAAGCAACAAAAATTATACACTAAAATTTTTAAAAACAACACAATTACTGTACAATAAAATAAGAAGAGTAAATCTAACAAATATTGGCAAAGACTTTTATTCTGAAAGCTATAAAGCACTATTTAGAGAGATTGGTAAAAACCTGAACAAATGGAGAAATTATTCATGTGTTGGGAGGTTTCCTATTTTTAATGTAACAATTTTTTTCAAAGCATTCTACTGAATCAATGCATTCAAAATCAAAATCAAAACGGAATTTTTCTTCATAGAAATTTAAGAATGCATTAGAAACCTTACAGGAAAACTTAAATAATTTAGAGTAGTCAAGAGAACCTCGGTGTTGTTTTGGCAAGAGGACAGATGCGTAGATCATAGAAAGGAAGCAGACTGGCCAGGAGTGGAACCACATTAGTGAAAAGGTGAGTAGTTACATCTCCTAATACAGGTGTGATAAGACATAAATGAATTATGATGTGTAAAATTCTTGTAAAGATGACAGACCATGAAAATAGCAACATCTGGTGCTGATGGAGAGTTGAAAATGCTGTGAGAATTCTCCAGAAGGAAACGCAGCCAATGGGTGGATATTCTCTACACCAACCACCTGCAATAGTTACATGTAGTGTCTCCTCAGGTTAAAAACAGCACCATGCATGGATTTTTAATGAAGTCATGGGTACTGAGATTTTAGCAAAGGGCACATCAATTGACATTTTTTGCAATTTCTCTGCTACTAAAAACCTTCTTAAATCAGCTGCTCATCTAAAAAATTGGAGGAAAGTTTCCAAAAATCTCATAATTAGAAACCTAAGACCTTAAAAACAAAGACTAAGGAATATGTTTGCTATTACCAAATAAAGAAAGAAACAATCACAGCACCACACTGAACTTTCAAAATTGCAATCATCAAATTGACAGGAGACACTCCTGTCTGTGTAACTAATAAGAACCTTGCAATGGTTCAGTGTGTTCTCAGTGCGTGTCTTCCTGTTCATCTCCTCCTCACAGAGTAAAACCCTGACCTGTGTGTGAGCTCCTCACAGCCCAAAGTCTTTGGAGGATAAAGAGGATGTTGTGAGTCACCAGGATCACACAGCCTGTGTGTCTCAGAGCGACCAAAAGGGTTTCTACCACCTCGACTGTCTCATACCTGGACACCTCCTGACTGGTTTTCTTAGCAGCTGGCACAGGAGACACTTCTTGAGAAATCCCACCACCACCCACGATTCTCATGTTGTTCATCAAAACTGAACATGTGGAATGTCCTGCAGGCCTCCAGGTCTTTGCAAGTTGCATCCTCCCGTTAGCTTGTTTCAACCCATGGTCTACACACACCACTCTACACACTGCTCCTAGTGCGACAATTAGCATCTGAGATGTCACATCCTACTGATCCTGTCCTCATGCCTTGGGCTCTACAAACTCTGAAACTTTAGTCCTCGCTGGCCACTCTGCCTTTCCAGAAATAATCTCTCAGTAATTAGTGTAATTACTTGTGCTACAAGAGCCTAGATTAGTTAACAGTTTGAATTCTAAATGAAAGCCATTTTTCTGCCTGGTGAGAAGTTCCAGGAATAAGGGTTTTATTATAAATAATTCATCCGATTCTTCTCCACTATTCCTGGAATGCTGTGTGCATCTCAGGGCTTCTCTCAGCTCAGACCATGAAAGTGACAAGAGCTCCTCCCAGCAAGGCTGGCCCAGCCCCTCCCCTGAGTGCCTGTGGTCATGGTGATTGACATCCCACCCACCTGACCCCTGGCCCTCTTCCTGTGAGGACCCCTGCCTTCCATCCACAGGGAGATAAGTTCATCACTGCTGACAAAATCTATTCTTCACAACCAGCAATCTCTCCTGACCAGAACTTTTCATACCCTAATGTGCGTTTGATCTTGTTTACACAGTGCTTCTGCCTAAACCTTGGAGAAAAGGAGGTTTTTTGTGTGACTGCCCCAATCTTAGGTGAAAGGGATTCAGAAGGACAAGAATCCTGTCGGGACTGTGGCTCCTGAGCATTTCACACTGTAGCTCGTTCACCACACTCAACTGCAACAGACCCAGTGCACGTTTCTAGCTTCATCTTGTGCTAGTTGATGTGTCGTC